CTTTTCTGATGAAGGGTCTAGGCCCGAAACGTCGGCCTCTCCTTTTCTGATGAAGGGTCTAGGCCCGAAACGTCGGCCTCTCCTTTTCTGATGAAGGGTCTAGGCCCGAAACGTCGGCCTCTCTGCTCCTATGATGCTGCTTGGCCTGCTGTGTTCATCCAGCCCTGCACCTTGTTGTCTCGGATTCTCCAGCATCTGCAGTTCCTACTATCACTAGTTTTAATGTTTTGTTTTGAAGGTATGTAAAAGGCTCAACTATTCTTCATGGCATAGTTGTCTTCAGAAAGTAACGCAAATTTGATCATCTTGTTCAATGCAAGAAAGAAAAACTTGAGGCACTACACTGCTATTAATGCCACAAATTCCACCATTTATTGTAGCTAGGTCTTACTCCAGGTTTAGATTTGTATTCTTAGTCATCTGGTAATATGACTCATGTACTTGAGTGGTATAACTGTCTACATTTTGCCCTCTCTCCTCCTCACCAACCAATTAAAAACTTACTGAACTAATGGGCCACTTGCCCATCAAGTCCAAGTGGCTGGCTGAAATCATTTAGCATAATCTCTCGCATATCTATTTTACACAATCCTTAATACCATAAGTTTAGAGCTAGACAATGTTAGTATCAATAGCAATCACTTATTGAGCATGTATAGCATTACCAGCTGCAGTGCAATGCTTTTAACAGTGAGTGAGCATTTTCCAGTCCCATTCCATCCAGTGCTCAACAAGAGCAAGTAAGATGCTTAGCCATGAGTACATTACCACAGGTATTCTTGACACAGACTTGCCACCTGGCAGAAAAGGGAGGGGGAGAAAAAAAAGGAGTGCAGCTGAATTTTTTGCCACTGACTGAGATTTAGCAAGAGGCATCCGAACGACCCAAATATAAACCTAGTAAGTTTAACTAATCTTGGGCTTATCTCTTTTCATAGTGCAGTTGGGAAACTTGAGAACTTCCAATGGAGGAGGCTGGAAGCCAGATGCAACCTACCCTTATCCCTCTATTATTGGCACAACCCATAAGTGGTTGCCATGTGGCTATTGCTGACAGTTTCATTTTTGGGGTAAAACACTAAAGAAACCATAAAGATATAAAGGCTCATATAAAACATATTGTGTTTATAGTAAGCCGTTTCTAAGGCATTCCCAAGGTCCTTCCACAGACAGATTACTAAATAAATATAGCACTATATTAGAACTAATGGCTAAAAGCTTAGTCAAATATAAGGTTCAACAAATGTCTTAAAAGGAAGAGAATTTAAAAAATGCAAAGAGGAATGGGAAGGAATGCCAAAGTTAGGGCCCAAACAGCTGAAGCTATGACTGCTAATGGTGGATAAATCAAAAATCAGGGACACAAAACTAAAAAGGTCCCAGCATTGGAGAAACAGAGATCTTGCTATACGACCGCATAGAAGCTAAGAGGGGTTAGGCCACAGAGTGATATTAAAAACAAAGCTGTTAATTTGAAAAGGCATTTTCAGACTAAGCCAGTGGGTCAGGCTGCACGGGTGACAGGCAGAGAACTTTGCTACCTTTGTCTTAACTCAAGTAGAGCTTTAGATAAATTCAGATTTATTGTGGATAATGTGGATATTGTGATTGACTGATCAGGAGAGCACTGGAATAGTCAATCTAGAGATTAAAAGGACACAGATAAGTGTTTTGGTAATAAGCTGAAGCCGGGCAATTTTAGACAATGACAACGGTGATTTAGGTAGGTAGCTTTGATGGCAAAGTAGCACACTCAGCATTTAATCTTGGGGTCAAATTTAAAACTAAGGCTTTGAAAAGTCTGGTTCAGCCTCAGACAGTGTCTAGGGTGAGGTAAGAGGACAACATTTAAAGGAGCTTGTAATGGGGACCATGTTGTTGGACTGCATATCGAATAAACAGTATGACAAATCAAACATAAAGGTCAAGACAGTTGGTTATGAAACAGATTGATTCAGCATACATGCAGAACATAATAATAAAACAAAGAATTGCCAATGCAGGAGATAAGAAAGAAAAACTACTGAAACAGAAATTTCTGGAGAAACTCGCAGCATCTGTCAGAAGAAAGCAGCGTTAATGTTTTGAGTCTGATGATTCTTCATCAGAATATGCAGAATGTAATGCTGTTTTTTCAGATGAGGTCACCACGAAGCAGCATATAGATGAAAAACAAAGTAGTCCTGGAAAGATCCGTAGAGGATATCAGAGATAAAAGTGAGCAAACAGGAAGAGAAGCTGATGTATGTGCTTCTCTAGCTACGACTACATAGATAAGACCAGAAACAACCGAGGACAGTCCATCTTCGCTGGATGGAAGAGTTATACAGAGGAAGATCATGCGATTATCCAAGGTAATAAAATTGCAAATGCATGGTGAAGAATAAGGAGAGTTAGATTGGCAGGGTCTCAAGACACAGAGCATATCATTTGTGATTTTCATACATACCATTTCAGTATTGTCAAGAGAGCACAAATTGACCAGAAAGTTTCAAATAAGGATTGCAAGGAAGATGGGCACAGATTTGGTTGATGACATATTCGAAAACTTGACAGGAAACAGGAGACTGGAAAGGAGGTGGCAAAAGAGCAGAGGGGTCAAGACGTTATTTTGGAAGAGGGAAACAATGACTGCAAGTTTGAAAGAGACAAAGTCTGAATTCAAAGGAGAGAGAACTGTTAGTATCAGCTAAAACGGATATAAGGAAGGGAACTGATTTCACTGTTTAGTAGAAATAATGTTGAGGAAGCAGGTGGTGGGGTTCATTCAAGATAAACTTGGAGGGGGCATGACAGGAAATGGGAGGGAAATGAAAGATGCAAGTTTGGAGATAGCATAAAGGAGAGCCACTGAAAGTGTTTGGCAAGGGAACCTGGTGAAGGAAAGGTAACGGCAGCTGAACAAATGATCAATCTTCGGTGCTCTTTCAGGCTTTCAAAAAATAAACTTGGAGGAACTGAATGTTTAAATAATAATTTGTATGGGGGGGGGGTAAAACAAAATAAAAATAAATCAGGGATTACCTTTACGTTCTATGACAATTTGACAATGAGCAGTTTGGGAGCATAAAACAGCATCAGGTCCTGTTCTATGTGATCCAGCCAGACTTGGAATGGAACAGCAAAAAAAAGTTCAAATGTCTGACATAAACAAACATTCATGCATGTATTCCTTGGACTCAAACACTTACCAGTGGAAATTATGGTTTAATCAGATACTGGATGTCCGACAGGCTGTTCAACAGCAAAAAAGGCAAGGGTGAGGGAGGTATGGGTGTCAGTGTATACAGGGAACCTGATTATATTCTATATGTCACCAGATGTCTAAGAAGTAGGACAGTGCCTAGGAAGAAGAGGTAATAACAGCAGCAGGAAGAGAATATGCAAGGTTCTAACCAAACAAGTAGGTTTTGATCTCATCAGTAATAGCTAGATTGTATTTCCCCCCCCCAGGAGGTTTACAAATACTGTACACACATTTCAAGGAGACAAAGAACAAAATATTCTTTCAATTTTCATGAGTTCAATGTCTGTGGTTGAACGATTCAAATTTAAATAAGAAAAGTTTTAAAACTGAATTTAGAAATAAAAATCATAGAATCTCTACAGTGTGGAAACAGGTCCTTCAGCCCAATAAGCCCACACCAACCCACAGAGCATCCCACCCAGACCCATTCCGCTATAAACCCACCTAATCTACACATCCCTGAACACTATGGGCAATTTAGCATGGCCAATCCACCTACCCTGCACATCTTTGGACTGTGGGAGAAAACCGGAGAAAACCCACACAGACACAGGGAGAATGTGCAAACTCCACACAGACAGTCGCCCGAGGGTGGAATCAAAGCCAGGTCCCTGGCGCTGTCAGGCAGCAGTGCTAACCACTGAGCCACCACGCCTCCCACTCAAGGAAAAATTTTTTTTTTTTTTTTTGAAAGTCACAAAGGACTCAAATTTTCCAGATAGTCAATTTGAACAGCATATGTTAATTTAAATGAAGTGGTTGCATTTCTGGAAGGAATTTTTTTTTAAATGGTTTAGGACTACGGAAAAGCATTTATTTCAGCAATGTTAGCTATCTAGTCCTATGATTTACCAGTTCAAAAGCAGTAGACCTGACAGCTTTTCCACTAGGTACGAGCTGAATCAAAATATCTTCAACCAAATAATTTTGCAAAGGATTGTTTCACAAATTAGTGCAGTATCTAAACTTGCATGCACAATCTAAGGAAATGTATCTTAATCTTACCTTAAATCCCTAGATTTAAATTTTATACGTCATTTGAAAATGCACTAAAATATCAAAAATCGTGGCATAATCAAGCATTCACCAGTATTATTTGGGAGTTAGACTGAGGGACTTGTACTTTAGACTAAAGCATTTGTAAAGACAAGATTGTAAAGATTAAGCAGTCATGCATTTAAGACACTTCTAAAAGCTAACAAATATAAGCATGCTTTCAATTTACATAGGATGCGAAAAAAATATCTGCAGGTCAAGGTGCATTTCTGAAGTAATGATGTACACATATTTTTACCTGATTTTTTGTCCGGTTTTACAGAAAAATCTTCAATACCAGCAGCAGCAGCATCTTTAGATGTTTTAGTGCCCTCAGCCACAGGAAGCAATTCTGGCACCAGGGCTTCTATAGGAAGAATTTTTTTGCTTACATCATCTTCTCCAACAGTGGAAGGAAATATTACATCTGTTTCTTGCTGAGACATGGATTGTGCTACTGTTCCTTCCTTCCCTCCCAAAACTTCTGCTAGAGCAACACTGGTTTCTAAAATTTTTGTAACCACTTCTTTTGAAGCCTTAGTTACTTCTTCATTTATGGGAAATGAAGCATCATTTTGGGTCTTCATCTGTGCTTGCACAGTCTCCAAATTTTCAGAAGGGTCATCAATTCTGGTTTTCATTTCATCAAATTCTTCCAAATAATTGTCCGGAAATATATTCTGCAAAGTCGGAGCATCACCACCAGTAACTGGTTGGGAAGTAGTCAAATTAGTCTCTTCAGCCAAGACTTGTGAACCAAATCCTCTGTCAGCAATCAAAATAGGGTCAGATTGTTTTGCAGCATACTTTTCACCTATTGTTGCACTAGACAGTACTTCCTCAGAAGTTTCCTGATAACTTAAACTAATTTCTGGTACATCTTTCTCTGTAACTTTTAATAGGTCAGTCAACACATCTTCAGTTATATTTTTAGTCAGTGATGGGATTTCAGTTTCATCTTGGAGTGAAAGTGGAGGAAGTGAACACTGCTCAACATGTTTGTAATCAGCTAAAATCCCTTCAACAGGTTTCATTCCAATTGTAGCAGCTCCCTGTGTTCCCAAAATTGGTTCAGATTTACTGATGGCAACTTCTTTGCATGTAATCACATCTAGACTCATTGTTGTCACTGAAGTATCAGCCGTTATGTCTGGTTTTGGATAAAGCAATGTAGAACAACTTGTTTCTTCCACAATCTTACTTGGCAATGATTCTTCTTTCCTGGATTGATCAACAAGCTTGTTTATTTTTTCAGAGACATCAAGCTCACCGTGCTCCAAGTGTACACATAAATCTTTACTATTATCTCCTACTTCTATAACAGAATCTAATGTGTGCTCCAGTATATTACCCTTTTCAGAAACCAGAACATCCTCCGAAATATTTACAGTATCTTCCACAATTCCTTTTTTTGTAATAGCCTTTTGTTCTTCAAGGAAAGACTGTGTTTTTGTTAACTCTGGAATACCACTGTCAGCAGCAAGTGGTTCTTGAAGGGCATACGCAATTTGCTCTTTAGCAGCATATGGAGCACAATCAGGATCCGAGAGATTTGTAACACACTCACTCCCTATGAAAGTTGGCGCCGTCACAATAGTGTCTGTTAAATCTTGTACATCATCAGATTTGTCTAAAATACACTCTTCAGATGTGCGAAGTAGTGGTTTGCATTGATCAAGAGATTCTTGAGGAGATTTCCTCATTTCTGTATCAAATGCACATTCAGTCATTTCTAATCGTGTTAATCCCGGGGATGTGATTTCAGAGGTGCTTTGCATATGGTATGGGGAAAAACTACTAAGCAGTTGTGAATTCATTTCAGAAATCGATGTTATATCTATATTAATAGGTAGTTTGTTTTCAGCAAATACTGGTGCCTCAGATTTTGTTTCTGGATCTTCGACCTTATCGCTTACTTCTAATTCAACAGCAGCTAACTGTAATGGTATTGATGTTTCTTTGAACTCAATCTTTCCTTTTATGATTTCTTCATTTTCAGGAACCATTTCATTAGTGCTGGAGGAATCAGACTCCAACATGTTATAAGAATCAAACGTAGCATAGGTCATGCATGCTTGAGATTCACTTACAACTGGAACTTGCGAAACAGCAAAGTAGGCTTCATCAGTTGGAGGCAGCTTGTCATCTTGTTCAGAGGACCGTTCTACATGGTCCTCCAAGTCTGCATAATCTAGCATTCCAGTAGTTCTGGCCACAGTTGGTTCTTCAGTTTCACGCAGTGTCTTTGAAGCTTCTTGATCTTGAAACACATCTTTCTCAGTCTTATCAGTTACATTAATGGCATCTTTGATATTAGAATCAATAACAGCCATCTGATTAATTGCTGGATCAGAACTCTTTAGTTCATTTTTCTCCTTTACTTCCAAAATATCCCCATAACAAAAGTTAAGACCACTGTCCACTGGTTTTATAGTTTGCTCATTAGAATCCAATGTATTCTGGATGAACTCCTTCTCCTCAACAACTCTGCCTAAGGGAAGCGTATCAGTCCCTAACGCACCAACATACTCACTAATGAATCCTAAGTTACTTGTTTCCATTTCAACTTTGCGGTCCTCTGATAAATGAACATTATCTATTCTCGTAACCTCACTAATCTTCAGTTCTCCCTTATCTGCAATGACTTGTTCTGGCATTGTTTCTTCAACGAGGAGTGCAGTCCCTTTAAATTCATTTCGATTTGGCTCTACACACTGATCAACGGTGGCTTGAAATGGACTTCCATCAACAGAATTTAGTTTGTCTATCTCTGATGATTCTATAAGTGCTGGCTTCACTTGTGCCTTTTCACCAACAGAATAAGCTTTTTCTAAATGCTCTGCTACTGGTTTGTCCATTGCATTTTCCACAAAACCAAAGGTTGTTTGCAATTCTGTGTTTAAAGGAACTTCAGTCTGTATTAGATCATCACTGTGGACTGATTTTGTGGACACTGTTAATTCAGTTACAGAATCAGAAGAAAAGGAGGGCAAAGAGGAGACAGGAACAGGTTCAACATGCATAGGTGCAACATCCTGTGGGCCCACAGGTTCGGCACTAGCTGGCTGATCTTTCAAGTTGACAGAAAAGTCTGTGATCATGGATAGAAAGGAAATGAGAAAAGTCAAGTCTTAGTTTTAATTGAATGCCCCACACACACACACACCAATATTCATATACAAATTTAATATAAAAGTAATTCTCATCATTTTAAAGCAGACTAAAAAGGACCACTCAAACATACCTGAATGATTTCATTGTTATTTCTACTCATTTCTTTTCAAATGGTAAAACTGCATATAATTACTAAGTCATTTAATTTGGAATCAATTAAAAATGAGCATTTCCACTCACTTTCCCCATCAGCTTCTAAAGAAGAAATTCCAAATAGTGTTTGCATCTAAATCTTCCCGGCATCCATTTGAAATCATACTTGTACAGTTCGATTTGAGCAACTGGTGAATGTACTGGCTCTATACAGTTAAGCACACCACCTTCAATTCCCTAATTTTTGCATACTTTGAGTTTTTTCACTGAAATTGCATAAATATCCATTTCCAACATTCTCATCTGCTACGTGACTCAAGTTTCATTTCTAAATTCTACTGCAAACTTTACTGGAACAGGTCAAATATATTACAAGTAAACCTATATCAGATAATTAGGGAAACAGATGGGATCCAATAAACTTTAAAATGGTTCTGTTGCCAGATGGATCAACATCTCAAATGAACTTAACAGAATAGCAAACAGAGTTTTGTTTTAAACAACTGCTGTGATCTATGTTGGGATCAACAGCATAGAGACAAAAAAAAACAAGTAGGCAGATCATGTTCTGATTGTACCAGGAGCAAAGAGCTAAACTAAAGACAGCCTAGAGAATTACAATCTCTGGATTACTACCTGTGCCTCACGCAAACAGGCATAGAGATCAGATTAGGTAGATGAACATGTGGCTAAAGGAGTGCTGTGTTGAGGGGGTTTGGTTTCAATTTTATGGGATAATGGCACCAAGACAAAAAGGAGCCTATCCACCATGACTGTCGCATGACTGACAAACCAGTCTGGGACTGGAGTTCTAATGCAAAAGATAATGGAAAAGATTGCCTACATCTCCTCAACCACCAGCCATCTAAACAACCACCCCTACAAAAGAAATTCCAAATTGCCAAGATCAATGTTGGAGTTGGACTTTGATCTCAAAATGTAAAGCGAGAACGTTGTCAAACTGGTATTCCACTACTGCTCTTCTTTGTACTAAAGACTAATTGAATAGTCCCTCCATCTTTACTGATGTTCAGTGTGCCTGTATGCAGGCTCTGTTTAGAAACATTCCATCTCCGTCTCCATTTAAGAACATTTGAAATAAACCCCACTTCTGGGTTTTAAGCCTTATCACAGTTGCAGTTCTTGAAAACTCAGAACCCAATGTGGGGAAAAGTTCCCCACTGTTTTGAAAAAAGAAAATAGACCAATCTGCTCGCACACAGCCGGTCAAAATATGGAAGAGATTTGTTTTAAAACTCAATCTGTCCAAGACAATAAAACTAAACAGAAAAGAATTTATGATTGCTCTAAGGGCTTGTTGTGCAGTGATAGTGCACCCAGACTAGGAGGCCTTGGTTGCCCCATAGTTCCAGAGCTATGTAATAACATCTTTGAACAGGTTGATTAGAAAATATCTATAACAATGGCACTGCAACTTAAGTAGAAGGAACTTTTACCTCCATACATTGAGATAAACAGGTTAGCATGTCAGAAAACTACTGGTTCTCTTGAATGTATCTTAGATCATTTTCTGTAACAATGTCATAGAATGAAGAAGGGAGAGGCTATATTAAATTTCTACATTTAGGGAATGCTGACTTGAATGGGATAAGACAAAGTATGCACATGGTATACTGGGCAAATCTGTTAACAGATAAAACAACAGAAAATTAGTGGGAGATGTTCAAAAAAGCATTTCATAAGATTGAAAAACTGATTTTTACCTACAAATGGCAGAAAAACAGACAAAAGGCTGCCATAGAGAACAGAATAGGTAAGTGAAACCATAACAAAGATAATGCATGTAAAATACAAAAATGCACAGACACTGGCACGAAGAAGATGGAGCTACAAAAGGATATCAAGACATACAGCAGAAATGCAAGAAGGGATTGAAAAGAACCTTACAAGACATATCAAAAGCAACACCAAAGTCCTCTGCAATGCAAATCGGGATAAAGGGTCATCACAGCAACGTTATCTTTACAAAAGAGCCAATAACGATGTAGTCGATGGAAAGAAGACAATAGCAGACATGCTAAATAACTGCTTTACACCAATTGTTAACAGCTAACTAAGAGATCAGACTGCAGACATCTTAAGGAAACTATGACGGAATACTGATTGGATGGTACAATCATTTCACTCCAGAAATTCAACACCATCCAGAACAAAACAGTCATATGGCTCGATTCTCTAAGAGAGTGCAGAAACCTTTTAACCTCGCTTTACTATACCTCCCAGCTCCATTCCTTTCACCAATATAATGGGAACATCATCACTCAAACTGCCACTTCAAGTCTTTCATTTCATTTTCATCCCAAAACGTACTTCCTTTTGCTTCTGGCTTAAAATCCAGGAATTCTCTGTTTAATGCTATATTAACTATACAAATCACCACAAAGACTGTAGTGAGTCATAGTAGTCAATCATCTCTCACTTCAAAAGCAACTGTTGTTCATATCCCAATAATCTTTATATAATAAAAAAGGGAGAACAATAGTCTTGACCAGTTCCAATATTAAAAAAAAACCTGCAAAATCTAATGGAATTTAAGGTGGAAGACGTATCGCCTTTACTGTTTCTAAATCCCACACACTTGCTCAGAAACATGAAGGACACAGGCTCAGGATAATCCTAAATTCTTCTGAGATTTGCTTATTAAATCATAATCCAGAAATCTAGCAAACAACTTTGGCAAATATTACATTTTGCTTCAGTGTTTAGATTCAAACCTTGATCATTGGAGTTACCAATTTCTAACAGTACAAACTAATGACTGCACCCTAGCCAATGTTTGCAAGTACCGTAAATGACCGAATTTAACACTAAATGGTACCTGCCCAGCTGTGAAGCCTTGAGGGTGAATAATGTTCACTGAAACTAGAATAATGTGTGTTGTCCTAAACAGTCCTAATCTCTTCTGTTCCTTTGTCCAGACTTGGATGAGAAATGAGTATATTCCACACTAGGCAGCAAACAACAGAAGTATTGACAATTCTGGTCAGTCACCAGACAGGATATATGATTGCACAGATTTTAAAATCAGAACAGTGTGTCAAAGTTGCCCATATCAGGCCTAAACTGCTCAGTCTCTCTTCATAAGACAAACCCCTCAACCTCTAGAATCAATCTAATGAATCTCCTCTGTACTGCCTGCAATGCAACTACACCATTCCACAAGTAAGGGTAACAAAACTGTAAAAAAAAAAAGACCTCAGATGTAGTCTCACTAATGCCTTGTACAGTTGCAGCAACACTCCCCTACTTTTATACTCTATCCCTTTAGTCAAAATTCCATTTGGCTTCTTTTCAATATTAGAGCTGGCAAAGGTTGTTCCTATCCAAACAAACAACAAACTGAGTCAACAGCAAATCAACAGAATTTAGGTTGAACTCAAATATCATCAACAGCAATACTGATGTGAACAAGCACCTGATAAAGTATTTTGTGAATATTTATCCACAAGGTGGTCATGGACATAACTCACATCCAAATCCAGAGCTTTTATATGAATGGAATGATTGGAAGAGGGAAATAAAGAAAAGCAAGATTTATGACTTTCCCCAAGAAGCCTACTAAAAAAGTACACCTGTGGACACCATGAAGAGAAGAAAAGGCTCATAATTTCCACTGCAATTCATCTGCCCCTTCCATGGTCAATTTTTCATTGACAAATATTTAGACTCAAAGAATACTGCCCATTCAAAACACAACTTTGAAAATTATTGAAAGAACAAAGCTAAGAGTTTTCTCCCTTTGGCCTCTGGATGCTCCCTCAAAATATACAGCTTGAACAAAAAGTCAGAGGGAAAAAGTTACCAACATTGAAATGGTAATACTTGTGAATCTAAGACATCACATTAAAATGAAATTTAGACTTCCAATTTAAAACAGATTGAATTTTTGACGACTTGGAAGACCAAAAGAACAATGCTGTTACAACAAGTAGAGAATAGAATGGGAAGGCCTTTATCTCAAGCTGGGGTTTAAACACATAACATGGAAGAAAATAAATAGCACCATAAGTGAATGTTTTTGGATGGGAGGGACACTGGAAATATTTCCAAATAATTTTATACAATTTCTAGAAACGATATCACTCATTTGTTCAGTATGCAAAGGTCAAACATGTAAATGTACATAAATATTCTGAGAAATGAATGTGACTGTTTAATTATAAAAGTACCACTTGACAATTTTGAGAGATTTGACGTGCACTTGGCAGATACTTTGCCTAACCTGTTAGGTATCTAAATTCAAATACTTTTTGGGAATTTCTGCCATGCATCAGAAACTCCATAACGATTTTTTCTGGATACAGTATTAATACGCTAAAATTCTGGATCTTAATTTCCAAGGCACTAGGCCAGTTGCTGTTATTTATTAATTTAATGTATGACAATGTCCTTAGGCTCAATTATATTGAAAGTGTTATCTTCACTGTTGTTGAATCATACTTTCACACCACTAAGGGCAGACTAAACAAATACAGGGCTCAAAATATTAAGACTGCCTAAACCTCAAAAATCTTTATGACAAAATGGGTATATATTTAGGCAAAATATTTATGACAGAAGGGCAGTACAGTGGTTCAGTGGTTAGCACTGCTGCCTCATAGCAGGCAGGGGTCTGGGTTCGATTCCATCCTCGGGCGACTGGCTATGTGGTGATCACACATTCTCTTCCATGTCTGCACGGGTTTCTTCTGGGTGCTCTGGCTTCCTCCAACAATAACAAAGATTTGCGGGTTAGGTGGATTGGCCATGGGAAATGCAGGATTACAAGGATAGGGTAGGATTCTCTGGAGGGTCAGTGTGGACTTGATGGACCCCATGGCCTGCTTCCATACTCTAGGGATTCTATGATTCTATGAAAGGATTTTGGCTCTCCAGCTTCAAATTAGTTTCAAACTTCCCATCTTTAACATATTGTTCCCCCTCCCAAGCAAAAGTCAAGAACACACCAACCTTCAAACATTTCAACGGACACACCCATCTCTTCCTTGTCAATATATGTTATACTCCTAAAGTATGTATCCCCTTTCTGGCTGGATTTTCTTCCCACAAGGTAAAACCAAGGCAGCATAATAATTAATACCAAAGTTGACAATGTAAAACAAGCCTTTGGAACTTTCTGGGTATTTGCCCCACGTTTATTGTGAGTAAAGTACTTTAAAAGCTTCCCCCCAATCCCCTCAAAAGCTGTCATGACTGAGCATAGTTTACATTCTTAGAACAAAAGGTCATTCAGGTACTCCAGAGTGGTCCTTGAATATGAAGATTGTCCCTTTACTAGCGGAAAATTAGTTTGCATATAGGAAACGGATGAAGTGTAGCTACAGAATCTGGACAAATAAAATGGAAAGGATAAAGAAGAGATATTATATACAAATAAAAGAGGATAGAGACAAAAATGGAAAGATTAAAAGGTATATTACAGAAAACAGTATTTTTCTACATCGTACAGTATTGTTAGCAACTAATAAAGGTCAGCTATTGCAAGAAAAAGATACAAGATGCTGTCAAGTGCAGAGTATGACATGTTAATTAGTTCAACTTCTGCATATTTTAGCAATTATATTGTTCTTATTTTATCTCTATCTACTGCTGAGTATGTTGACTCTCACAACGGACAGCAGTCAACTTCCAGAATCTAATGCAAATAGAGAACGCAGCAGATTATCAGTCTATGAAGGACATCACAATTTACTGTTTCCACATTAAACACTGATTCCTATTTGAAGAGCAATAATCATGCGATCAGGAAAAGTGTCCTTTGGAAACTGCCAAACAGTTTTTCACATCACAGGCAACAATCTCAGCATTAACCATGGATGAAATGTGAACTTTATATTGCTTTAACAATTTTTACTTCAGAACCAGAAATTTTGCAATCAGCTCTGAAAGTCACACTCTGTACTAATGTAAGACTTTGATATAGGAATACTTTGAAACAGGAAGCCAGCATATCATCTGGTAATTAAGCCTATAACAAGTGACCAGAATAAAATCAAAAGTCAAATTATTTTAAGCAACTGATTAGATTCATAAGATGCAGATAAGAATAAAAGGAAAGCTGAAGGAACTTGCCTGCAGAGGACTGCATCACACATTCAGGTGCAACGGAAGGAGAAAGAAAGGATTCGTCTGAAAAACAAATATGACAGGACCTCAGCAGGGCAAGCAATTTAACTAAATGATATCAGATGGCCCAAACAAAGTCCTTCAAATCCAGTAAACAAAAGCTTTCAAGCAATATTTTGATCTTAAATATCAAAATTAAGCAAGTGACCATGAAATGAATTTACAATCTGCAATTTTAGTCTTGTTGTCCAAATGTCAATGTAGATCAATCACAATAATTAGATCAACGTTGTCCAAATCTTTTCCCATTGTGACTGATTTTGGGGTTTGAAAATTGTCACAACCCTAAGAGATCTGAGGGCAGGAGGCGTAACCTCTGTGATAGGGAGGGAAAAACGGCCAAGCTATGTGGTGCTTTTGAGCTCACAACCCTACATGGGGTCCCAGGATCTACTCTGGCAAGGCTCAACTAACATGTTACTCACAGGGAGAAGGACCTGTATATAGAATCAAACAGTTACTTTAAAAAAAACAATGCATCCTGAAGTTTGATTTCTTCATACGGGGGTTGCGGTGGTGGATCATTTTCTGCTCAACATTTGTCTAAATATACTTCTGATGGAAAGCCTGCTTGAGAACAGGCAAAGCTGTGAAAGATTTCAGCAAAACATCCTTGCAGTTTTCACTATACAGGTTCAGACAAAGAATTAGCACAAATGACAAGGTATCATACATAGTGCATTCAGCACCTTAAGAGTATACACCTGCACCAATAAATTCCTTCTGGTTGAGGAGAGAGGAAAGAGGGAAGAGAAAGGAAGATATTAGCACAAAAAAAAATCAAAAAGGTTAACACTAAGGTTGTAGATCTCACAATAGTCCCTCAGCATTTTCCTATACTTTAAAACACTATTCCAAATGCAAGAAATTACTCAGACGCCAACTGATAAGTGCAGACTTGTAAAAAAAGAGTTAATTAAACCAGAGTAGTATTCTGCAAATTGAATTGGATTTAATGCAAACGCATGACAATACTGTCAGGGATAATTCAAAATTAGTTATAGAAGTTTGAAATGGCAAAAAATCTCAACAGCCTAAATTAGTTGAATTTTAAAAAAAATATTTTGAGAATGGTTATTTTAACTTCAGAAGTACAAACTTCTGTAGCGAAAGTATGAAGGTTAGTGAAGAATTACAACTTTTATGAAACATTTCCAAATTGAGAAGGTTTACAAGACGCTACATCACAGCTTCCTAAACCGTGGGTTGAGATCCCCAGTGGAGCTGTCAATTGAACTTTTCGGATTGCAAAAGCTGCTGTGGATTTGCAACCAATTACTAACATCTGCATGGCCTTTTTAACTAGTGGTGTAGACTAATTGCCCAATCTATAGACCTGAACCCAATCCCCAAAAACCTAATGGGAAGGTAGGTGCCATTTAAATAAAAACCACTCTGGATCAAACAACTGAACCCCTCCCCCAGCCACTCATGTCTCTCCCAGCTGTACTGCAAAATAGGAAGGTACACGATTATACGTGGGAACCCTTAGAATTCTACCTATGGCATTGGTTTTTGATCAAAGATCTATGTCTTTAAAAACCATAACACAAAGTGCTTCTGCCAAGAACATTCAAAAGCCCGACCACTACAAACAAGCCACAATAACTTACATTGATTTATAAATCAAGCAGCACCTGTACATAAGCCTTTCCTTAGCCACATTTGAAATTAACTCAATTACAACATACCTGCTAGATAATAACATCAGATCTATCCCATGCCCCCAAGCCTTCAAATTGAAGATAAACATCCAATACAGCCCTTCACAGGAGCATAGCCCAAGCAAAGACAGTCAGAGGTGGCTAAAATTGGATTTGGTTAGGATATGGCAGGATTTTTGGAAAAGTCAAATTTATTCAGGAGACAGTTTAGGCAAATGAGGGGTGATCTTGTGGAACATGTATTTTTAAAAGTGTTCAATAGGGTTGATGAAAAATGGATGCTTCCCATAGCTGGGAGTTCTACAATCAGTGGGCATAGTCTGAGAATAAAGGGTGGTGAATCTTTGGAATTCCCTACTCCAGACAGCTATGGAGATTCGGTCACTGAGTATTTTCAAAATAGAGATTGATAGATTTTAGACAATGGCATCAAGGAGTGGGGGTATAGTGGCATAAAAATGGCATTGTGGTACGTATACAAAAAAATTCAACAATGGCCTAGCTGAATGCTGGAGCAGGCTTGAAAAACCAAATGGTCTACTCCTGCTCCTATTTCCCACATTCCTACAGTCTAAAGTCTAAGGAAATATACCAACAACGATACTAAACTATAGTTTATAAAGGAGCAGCAGCTGGAAGATGCTAACATGCTAGAACACAGGTAGAAGGTTTAGTACTTAATGAATGCTAGTTTTTTTTACATACCAATTTCAATGTGCGCGCTTACTGGCAATTTCAATTATTTTAGCAAAAATGCCTCAGAACAGTCACATGAGAATCAAGGTCACTGAATAGGCTTTGTGCAGTCTAAGAAATCTGACAGCTTGATACAAAAGGGCATTCAGCAAAAATTAAAATTAACTAACAAATATACCGATGGAGTCTGCTTCAAAGGTTTCTGGCAGAGAACGCTATTCTAACCACAATATGGGAAAGAATATTTTTAACCTTCAACTCTTAACTATGTTCATCCTCGTTACCCACAAAGCAAACAGTGGGGAGAAAACTTAAGTATTTACTCCAATAGAACCTTTCATGATCTTTAAGATGTCCTTACAGTCACCCCTTAGTTCTAATATAAAAAGGGGCCAATATTCCAAGTCACAGCTTTTCCCCTACTTCAACCAAACCTACAGTATTTCATATTTTGCCTTTTGCAACATAATCCTCAATTTTGTATTCCCATGTTATCCAATTTTCATTTGAGGGCTTTGGCTGAATCTGCCTTCACAGATGCTTAGGCAGAGTATTTCAGATCCTAACCACATGCTGTATATTAATTCTTTTCATAATCATCTTGAATTGATATACTTGTTTTCAACCCTTCTACCAACAGGAATGGTTTCTCCCAATCTACTTTGTACAGACCTTTCATAATTTTAAATACCTCCAAACATGCTCCTAATTCTTCTCATCAGAAACAAAAATAGCCCCATCATCTCCAAAGTATCCTTGTAGCTGAAGTTTCTTATCCCTAGAACTATTCCTATGAATATTTCCGACAACCATTCTAAAGCTTGTAATTCCTTACAGCAGCACAGTGGTTAGCACTGCTGCCTCATAGCGCCAGGGATCCGGGTTCAATTCCAACCTCAGGTGACTGCGTGGATTCGCATGTTCCTCCCACAATTCAAAGATGTGCAAGTCAGGTGGGTTGGCCATGCTAAATTACCCATAGTGTTCAGGGATGGGTAGGTTAGATGTGTTAGCCATGGGAAATACAGGGATAGGGTAAAGGGATGGAGATGGGTCTGGGCGGGATGCACTTCAGAGGGTCAGTGTGGACTTGTTGGGTCGAATGGCCTGTTTCCACATTGTAGGGATTCTATGAATGATCAAATAATCTGATTTGGGGCAGCATGATGGCTCAGTGGTTAGCACTGCTGCCTCAGAGTGCCTGGGACCCAGGTTCAGTTCCAGCCTTGGGCGACTGTGTGGAGCTTGCACATTCTCCCCTCGTCTGCATTGGTTTCGTCCAGGTACTCTGGTTTCCTCCCACAGTCCAAAGATGTGCATGTGAGGTGGATTGGCTATGCTAAACTGCCCATGGTGTCTAGGGTGCGAAGTGCAGGGATAGGATAAGGGATGGAATGCTCTTCAGAGGGTCGGCGTGGACTCGATAGGCCGAATGGCCTGCTTCCACGCTGTAAGGATTCTATGATTCTTTCCTGAACTGCTATGCCCATTAGAAGACAAAATGGTCCAGCTGAGGCTGAACTAGGATTTTTATATAGCTTCAGCACAAATTTCTTGCTTTTTATAGCCTCTATTCCCCTATTTATAAAGGCCAAGATCCTGTATCGACATTTTTCTCAAACTATCATGCCTTTAATACTGTGCAAACATCTGATCAATTTTCTCTACTCCTAAACACACTTATTGAACATATTCATCCATAAGATATTATCATCACTGGATAGGCTAGCATTTACAGCCCATACTTAATTGTCCTTGAAAAAGTGATTGTGAACTGCCTTCTAGAAACGCTGCAATAGATACACTCAGTTAAGAAGGGAATTTCAGACCCAGAATTTTGTCCCAGCAGCAGTGAAAGAATGACAATATAGTTCCAATACAATATGGCGCGTAGTTCACAGGGGAACTTGAAGGTGGTAATGTTCCCATGCATCTGCTGCTCTATTCCTTCTAGGGAGTACAGGTCACATGTTTGGAAGGTGATATCGAAGGAGCCAGAGGTGCTGCAGTCTACCTTTCAGTTTTTGTGTCATTAATACAATATAAGTTAACAATAGCAATGATCCTAATACCAACCCTTGGGAACTCCACTACATGTAACCTTCCGAACCATTAAACAACTGTTCACCACTATTATTGCTTGTCACACCTAACCTCATATCTAGACTGCCAGCACCCCTTTTATCCTAAGGGTTTCAGCTGTGCTATGAACCTTTAGCAAATACCGTAGAAAAACATCCACGTATACTACATGAACTACAAGACCTTCATCATATTCCCAATAATGGAAAGCACAAAGTTAATCATAAGTCCTTAATAAGACCATGCTGGCATTCCTCAATTAATCCACGTATGTCCAAGCAACTCTTCACCTTGTCTCAAATTATTTTGAAAGCTTTGATCGATGTCAAAGTCACAGACCTACAGTTACTGTACAAAGATTTAATATGTACAATTCTCCAGTCCTCTGGTACCAGCCCTGCATCCAAGGAGGATTGGGAGATTAGGGTCAGTGCCTCCACAGTTTCTAGGTTTACATCCTACCATGTCTTTAGCTGCATCCCTTCAGTTCCTGTTGTTTTAGTACAGCCAGCCTATCAAACAACCATCTTGTTTTCAATTTTGTTTTACATCTACTACATC